AATTTCCCCAGTTTCTCCGTGTATTGTTTCTCCAAAACTGCCCAAATGAAGGTGAATAGAGAGAGAGAGGGGGAGGGAGAGAGCGTCAGGCGACTGCGACCTCTCCACCTTTGTCTGAAAGTTGGTCTGGGTTCTCATCTGAGATTTCTGAATTCTTAGTAGGTGCGCTAGATGAACTTCTGAAATAACCCCTCGGAAATTTTTTAGTCGCACCGAAACGAGTGACCGTCGATCTTAGCGGAGCGCTAGTTTTGTGAACCTCAGAAAGTTCACCACAGATCCCTGCATTTGTGGGTTTAACTTTTTCTGGAGGATGACAGTTCGACCATTACATCCAACGATGTCCACCGTATGCTCCACAGCAAGCTGATGCAGGCACGGTGACTTACGCGTGATTTAGTTTATAGTTTTAGTGGACTTGCACAGTATTTAACGCACTCCCTACTCCCCCATCTGAGCCCAGTGTCAAGACAAAGTCAGGAAGACCGGAGGCGAGGGGGGGCGCAGGTGGATGACACGGTCGAGCCCGCACCTTGGCACTCCACTCCGCACCCCCTGCTCCACACAGCAAAGGACCAGGATTTTTCACAACAGCCAAAGAGGCTAGCGCGACCGAATTGGCACCTGGGCGTCCCGTCAGACCTGGGAGTGCGAGTGCCATAAAGGCCACATTAAGAGGGAGCCATTCCGGCCTGACGCATAGATCACCAGTCTCCCGCTTTACAGTAGCACACCACACTAAGCCGATTGCAAGGTCCAAGTTATCCCGTCAGTTGGTAGTCTTCCAAGCCACGGCTTCTAGCGCACCGTGATAGTTTCACGCGCATAGAGAGAGGGAGAGAGAGAGAGAGAGGAATTCGCTTTATTTTAAAATCATAAGTTCAAAATTTTCAGCAAAAAATTGGCTCCATTCATTGTGGGCAGTAAATAAGTTAAGAGATTAATCAAGAGTCAAAGAAATGATTATTATGGGGATAGTTCAAGTCCTAGCTTCTGTATTTCTGTCTCTTCGCACGTAAGATAGCGCGCTAGGAATGGCAATACCGAAGCTCGATAAGCCGATGTGCGACAGGATATAAGACGGAAGTTGCGGCGCATCGGGCGGGAAGATTTGGCAGACATAAGATCAGAATGTAAGGGATGGGCAACGTCATCTAGAATTCGACCAGCAAATTGCTTGACCGCATTGAAGTGTCGTTGTAAGATTGTGTCAACTAAAAAAATATAAGAAACGCCAGCAGCAGAAGGGAGCATACGGAGGACTCGTTTCAAAATTAAAAGATCCTTTTTTAGCAAAGCAGGAAAAATAATAGGAGAGCAGTATAGGATAAGAGGAAGAATGCAGGCATCAATGAATCGCCAGACTAAGAGTTGAGGTGTGTGGTAGGAACGTAAACGACGTATGTAGTAAAGAAGTTTACTAACTTTAATAAATAGGGAGTCAATATGGAGGGAAAATAAAAGATTTGAGGACAAAGTAACGCCGAGGTACCTGAAAGAGGATACTTCGTTAGGAAGAATGTCAGAGGAATCAGGATTAGGAGAGGGCCGCAGTCGAAAAATACACTGAACGGATTTTTGGTTGTTAATTAGGAGACCATTTTCCTCCGACCAGGCTAGGACATGGTTTAGGCCATCTTTTAGAGACCGGAGGTGTGCCTGACTTTTGACAACCACATCATTAGCATACTTGACCAGAAGACAGTCATTAGGGGACCTTAGATCGTCAGTTTGGAGGGAGAAAAGGTGAGGGGATAGAATGGAACCTTAAAGAACACCGCAGTCATTGGGAAGGGTCGAAGATTTCCGCTTGCCAGATTGGACAAATTGAGTGCGGAAGGTAAAATAATCTCTTAGCCAAGAGACGACCCAGCCTGGAGAGCCGCATGCGGAGGTTTTGGTAAGGAGAAGAGGGCGCGGGACGGTATTGAAGGCGGAGGAGTAATCAAGAAAAGCGCACGCATACTCGCGGCAACCCTTGTCTAATGCTTTTAGAGCAGAGTGGACCACAAGAGCGACAGCATCTAAAGTATTCCGTTTATTTTTATATGCAAATTGTAAAGGGTCGGAAAAACGGGAAGAAAAAGGCTTTATGATGTCTAGGGCAACTGTTTCAACAAGCTTTAGTATTGCGGAGAAGCAGGCAATTGGGCGAAAAGATTTAGGACCAAAGTTAGCTGGCTTTTTAGGGATGGGAGTGATTCTCACTGTACGCCAGGCGTCGGGAATCTTGGACTCCATGAAAGACATATTGATTAGGTGTGTTAAAATAGGGGCTATCTGTGAACTGCAAGATTTAAGAAGAAAAGGCGAGACACCATCCGGTCCGGCAGCTGTTGATCCACGGACCTTTTTAAGGTGTTTCTCTACTGTTGCCAAAGACGGGTTAAAATGTGCTCGGTAATAGGGGAATGTCATCTAAGGGAAGATGGGAGTCATTGTGACTAAATATAAAATTTTTATATAGGGAGTCTAAATCTGCATCCACATGCACCAGTGTGTTGCGATGGCCAGTGAGACTCTTAAGATTTTTCCAAATCTCAGCTGAGGAAGGGGGAAAGGGGGGGGAGGAAGAAGAGGAAAAAAGGTGGCTGACAAACAGGCTATTCAGCCTGTCAATCTCTGTTTTTATTTAGACGGTAACGTCCTTAAGGCCATCACGTAAGCCAAGCTTGTAAAGGAGTTCTTTTTTACGTCTTAACGATTTCAGATAGGGGGAAGAAATTCTATCCGGTCGTACCATAACAGTATCAAGAGGGCAGCAAATATCAAAAATTTTATTTAAAAACGCTGTCAGGTTTGAAGAACAGGATTCAGCATTCGATTGTTCAAGGAAAGTGGGGCTAGTAAGGGAAATGCAAGTCTGAAGCAACAGAATGTTTTGGGCGGACGTGTTGCGAACCCTAACCTTTCTCTCAGGCTTGGCAAGCAGTGCACGTTTAGAAGTGGAATAGATTTTTGGAAGACACAATAAATTGGAATGGTTAGAACCTGACAATGGACTGCAAGATTTAAGAAGAAAAGGCGAGATACCATCCGGTCCGGCAGCTGTTTATCCACGGACCTTTTTGAGGTGTTTCTTTACTGTTGCCAAAGACGCGGGTTGGAATGTACTCGGTGAAAGGGGAATGTCTTCTAAGGGAAGAGGGGAGTCATTGTGACTAAATATAAAATTTTTATTTAGGGAGTCTAAATCTGCATCCACATGCACCAGCGTGTTGCGATGGCCAGTGAGACGCGAGTCTGTCTTGTATATGTTAGTAGAGCCCCACACAAACAGGCGCTTTCTTCTATAAAGTCTCGCTTTTAAACGATTCACTGAGTTGCAGAAAGAGAGGGGCTGGTGCGAACAAACCTGAACTGATTGCAGAACGAAATGCTAGTGATTCCATCTCACTCTGAAGTGCTAAGCTAGACACCTCGCAGACGACCTAACAGGGACTAGAAATCAATACACCAGAGGTGATATCGGCAAAAACGAGTCTGCATGCTATGGTTTATTGATAGCACATAGGTACAATTAGCCTTCCAATATAGTTTTCGGCTATACTACTCAGTACGTTGCACTTTGATTGTGAAAGGGCTAATATTTGTACTGAGCCCAAGCTCAACTCCAGTGGGCTGAGCACTGCTTTGCCATCTAAGTCAGGTGGACAGGAGAAGACAGAGCGTGGTAGATACTGCGCAAGTCAACTCTCACCATAAACTAATTCACGCACAAGTTAGTAACGTTGCATTCCCCATGCTCTGAGGCGTACGGGGAACGTCGTTGTTCATGATGGTAGAACTGTCGGTTATCTTTGACCTCCGGATATTTGTTTGTTTGGTTGTTAGTGAGTAAGCAGTACAGCTCATTAATCCGTCATTAAGGCTGACAGGTAATACGACATTCTCAGTGCAGTGGCTGACGCATCTAGCGCAGCATCGGACGGTCCATATGAACGTTTGGCTCCATTTTTCGGTTAGATCGCAGTTGGTTGCCAGGGCTGAGGAGGCGGACAGGTCCCTGTCGTACGGGAATGGTGGGCTAAATGGGTGGGGTAAATGGAAGGGCCGGTAGAGGAATGCTGGAGTTTCTGGGTAAAAGTAAAGTTACCAGGGGAAGTGCTGGAAAGTTTTAAGTAGGTATAATAATGCCAGAAATGTAAACTCTGACTGCAGCCGTAATGCCTAACCCTAAGCCTCAAAACCGAAACGTAACCGAAATCCTAAAACCCAACGCTAACCCAAAACTCAGCCGTGACCTTAACCGTAACTCTAACGGGAACCTAAACCCTAACACTGAAAGCTGACCCTAAAACGCAAACCCTCATCATAAAACTGAACCTACGCTTAACCCTAACCCTCACTAAACCCAACAGCCTGACCGAAACGGGCGGCCTGCCTAACTCAGTAGGACCTTATCTACTGATAACAAGTTCCCTAGACAAGGTAAGCATACCTACTGATAGCAAGTATGTACGTCGACAGTATCACTGTGTAATGTCTGGCTACCAACTGCGATCTTACCCACTTTTCTTCAGACCCCCGAGTTAGATACTCTCCACAGCAGCAGCAGCATGATCTTGGCCTTGGAATGAGGTTACCGGTAAAGTCTGTTTTTTTGTCGGTTACTATTGTTCGCAAATCATTTTTCGAAAATTTCTTATCTTCGCTCTACTGCATCACCATACACTTCCATCTTTCAACGTTATCGATTTTATCGTTGCTAGTTTTCGCGCTGTTTCAGCTCAGCCGCGGCTGAAATTGTTTCCTCACGTAGAACATGCGAATCGGCGTTTGGGGCGGATGACAATGTGTGCCTTCTTTTGCAGCCTGTGGTTGTTTTAATGTCTAATTGTTTTTTTTCCATTTGTGGCCGCCGTCGTTGACGCGTTGGATGTCTCTCTCCCTCCCCCTCTTTTATCCATTTGTTCCCATGCTTACCCTGTCTCTTCTGGGTTCTCTCCCCCCCCGCGTAGGTCCTGGTGATAAACAAGCGGCCGGGCGAGTCACTGGGTATGACCGTGGCGGGCGGTGTGGCCAGCCAACGCGGTGACACGCCCGTCTACGTCACTGACTTCGACCCCAGCAGTGTCGTCGGCAGGATGGGCCAGCTGGCCAAGGGCGACGTCCTCCTCGCGGTCAACGAGGTGGAACTCCTCGGCCTCTCGCACGAACGCGCCGTAGAGGCCCTGAAATCGACTCGGAAGACCTGCTCTAAGGTAAGCCTGAGTCGGCGGCCTCCCCGCGGTGGCAATTGCTGCTCGAGGGCCACGACGACTGGGGGGAGGCTTTTGTCGTTAGTTGGCGTTAGTTGGAATCAGTCATAATTACCCTGTCGGCAGTGGTCAGCATGACGTGACGGAATGTGTCCTCAATTTAAGTAGTATTGCCTGTTTATATTTAAGTGCAATGGTGGCGCGCCCATGTGCAGGCGCACGCCGTGCCAGCCACTTGCGCTTAATCCCCGCATCAGACGGCAGATCGGCTTGGGCAGTGAATTAGTGTAGGGAAGAGGGAAAAGAGACAGCCACAGAGGGACCGCAGCCCCACAGTACTTTATCGCATTTCCTCGCCTTAAACAACTTGGCGTGCTCTTGATACGCTAAAAGTCATGGCTTGGAGAACTGACAACGGACGGGGCGGCTAGATCGCAGTTGGTAGCCAGCCCCGTATTACAGGTGGCTGGGGGGGGGGGTTGTTTACTGGGGCCATTTTGTGGGGCTCCATAATCGCATCTGACCCATTTGGCTGCCGTTTTACGTTGGGGGTTAGGATTAGGTTATCGGTTAATGGTTTCCCATTTTCGGGCTAGGGTTATGCCTTTAGGCTTAGGTTTTCGGGTTGTGGTTAGGGTTTGAGCGTACGATTTGGTTTGAGTATTGCGATTAGGTTTTTCAGTTACGGCTATGTCTAAGGGCTACATTTACGTTTACGGTTTCGGTTTGGGTTAGGGTTAGGGTTGCCGTTAGGGTTAACGGTTAGCATTTAAGGTTGAGGTTAGGGTTAGGGTTAAGTTTAGGATTAGGGTTAAGGTCACCGTCCGCCTCCCCATTCCTGGCTACCAACTGCGATCTAACCGACGGGGCAATTCGGTCCTTCTCGGGACCTACAGTGCGTGACCTATCCCATGAAAGGTTGGCTGAAATTCTGAAATGCGTTTTCGATTAGGAAGGATTACTTGGTCACGGTTGTGATACTGATTATCTTAGGGCATACTCTTATAACATTTTGGACTCGGCAGGATGTCGGCTTTAAAATGCACTTCTTTTCAATCTCCTGTAGAAATCATGCTCGGTAAAAAATGACTACTTTAGTAGCATGCATTTTTCCTATTGATTTTCGATGGTTTCGGAAATTCAAATATATTCTGTAGAAACCACAAACAAAAATATGCGTTCTTTTAGTCAATCAATAGAGAAGCACGTCTTATTCATATTTTATACTTAAGAAAAATTTGGAGCCTGATCATTTGTTGCATTAGCGCCAAGTGATTACACTCTACAAGGTGCATGCGTCCCGCGTAAAGAAAATCCTATATTTTTCTATGTCATTAAAGAGATATCATACAGGGTCCATAAAATTTTGCAATGGGTGCCGACCTTGTTGTACATTTCATGAGGAGCAGTGGTAAACGTCCAGGTACGGTGCTGTGTGAATGGACATATCGCGGTCTTAAAAAGTCTCATAATTAGAAACTTTTTTTTAAACCTAATTATACTCCTTCATTAAGTATAAAATATAAAGAAGACGTGATTCTCTATTGATTGACTAAAAGAACGCATATTTTTGTTTGTGGTTTCTATAAAATATATTTGAATTTCCGAGACCATCTAAAATCAATCAGAAAAATGCATGCTACTTAAGTAGTCATTTTTACCGAGCACGCTTTCTACGGGAGATTGAATAGAAGTGCATTTTAAAGCCGACATCCTGCCGAGTCTAAAATGTTATAAGAGTATGCCTTATGATAATCAGTATCACAACCGCGACCAAGTACTCCTTCCTAATCGAAAACGCATTTCAGAATTTCAGCCAACATTTCATGAGCTAGGTCACGCACTGTAGGGATAGGCTGCAGCGAACCTTTCTTGTTATGATCTTTATGGTTATTTGTGATCCGAAACTGACTCTGTTGTGGCCAAGTACATATGTGGCGAGGGCCTGCCCGTGTGTGTGGCACGCGTAGACGGGTCACTTAGCTTCGTCAGTCACTGCAACCGCATCCCCCCCCGCCCTCCGGTCGTATTAGCATTATCTTACCACCGACACCAGGTGGGTGGGGGAGGAGAGAGGGGAGGCAGGTGCTGCGCAAGTCCGTGTTAGCACGCAACTCACTGGTGCTGCGCTCACTTCGTGGCACACATGGTGGACGCCATCGCCTGCGATGGTCAAACTGTCGTCTGTTTTCATAAACACAATTGTGTTTATGAATTCACATGCACTTGCGGATGCAAGTACATTGGGCGAACGCAAGGGCATTTGGCAGCCAGGTCTATTGAGCACCTGCCCAGATGGCTCCTAAGACAAGAAAATAAAATCTTGCGTTCCTCCATTACGAAACACCTCCTTGATACTGGTCACTCCTTCGACCCCAAAACTTCCTTCCGAGTACTTGTTCGGACACGAACAACTCGGACATTGCGTTACCTGGAGGCGGCCTTCATACGACGAGTGAAACCAGATCTTTGTAAACAATTGGAACACGTGGTTAACCTAACATTGCCATGGTAGCCTCTAGCTCCATGATTCCCCCTCTCATTTTTTGCTCTTTAACGTTCCCCTTTTTCACTTTCTTCCCCTACGGTGTTTGTGTTACTAACTTTATCGATTAGCCAGCTTTGCCCAAAACCCTGACCTTGCTGTTTCTGCATTGATTTTCTGCACGAATTCAAATCTGTTGTATTCTTCTCACTCGTTATCTCTCTTATGAAGCGACAGGACGCAGCTGAAGAGCCGTCGCGAAATTTTTGGGTACCAATAAATCCTGCCCTTCTTGCCTGCTTCAGGTGGTCAAACTGTCGTCTGTGTGTTTGAGGGAACTGATATATAGTCCATTTTTAGTTATCTTTACCTTTCCATGCTATTTGAACGGGGTCGTTGTGAGAGGAGAGAGTGAAACTGATGTCATGCAGGCCATTTTCATTGCTCAATCATGCGGAGAGCAGTTTTACCCTAAACCCCGACGGCGGCGGCGGAGTCTGTTTTTTTTGAAACGTCGGAAAAGTGACCATTCCGTTGTCGAAATCCCCCGACGTCGATGCACATCTTTGCTCCTGTCGGCATTTCTCTCCCTGTTCCTCCACATGCGGCAATCCTATCGACAAAGAAACCGGTGTCCCAGGTCCTTATTCTCGGTCGAACAGCTCTTTTTGGAGGATGCAGCGCCTGTTTACCATCTTCCTCATTGGTTAAACTGTGCGTTTTGAGTACTGGTTTTATCGTTTGATTGTCCTACCTGCCTGAAACAGTATCCGCGTTCACTTCACTCAGTAGTCACCTTACGCGGACATATGGAACAGTTGGGAAGTCATCGCGAAACCTCATAAAGTCTGAACGAATACTAGATGGCCATTTCCGACTTATTAGCCGTTGTCAGCCAGGCATACCCAACGCTGGGTCGGAATGACCTTGGATTCGAACCCGGATTCTGTAATCCGGACGTTCGCTCGGACGCTCTGCCATTGAACCACAGACTCGGTGTCCTGTCGGCTGAGTTTGGGGATCTTACCTATCACGGGAAGGGCGTTCTCCGGTCAGGTAAATAAACACGCTTGTCCTGTTTTTTCTTGGAACTCAATCTAGAACCCTCACGGATAATCACATCACGAGTCTTGATATTAGAAGCAAGAAGTACCAACGAAGACAAGGGAGGCTGGAATAATCATTTCTGGCCTACTAACGGCCGTCAGCCAGTCGCGTCCGATCCCGGGTCTGTCTGAACTGGTAGTTTAATTTCAAAGAGTGCATCCCTCATATAAAGAACTTTTTTCTGTGTCCAGGAGAATCGCAGCAGCGAATCCCATCAGCATGTCTTGTTTAGCTCATGGCCGGTGGTTTTCGTTGGCAAGTCTTCAGCCGAGTAGAAAGGTACCTCCTGCGACGATCAGCAAAATGTTAGCGGGACTAGCATCCCGGTAGTGGTTCACCTACTGAAAATATTATCCAGAAAAGAGTTTTCGACGGTCGTCTGCTGTGGATGTGTTTTTGCCCTGCAACCCAACACTTTCCGTTTTGTTGAAAAAGTAGAGTTTCCGTAACCTAGTCCAGGGGAGGGGGAGATTCACAGCGCGTTCTGCACCCTGTGGCTACCATTTTCTGCCCCAAGGCATTAGTTTTCCGCGAAGTTAGACTCGCCCACAGGGTGAAAACGTTTGTGCGGCTACATTGGGCGGTTCTGACGATGTCAGAGAGGTATTGAGTTTACAATTGAGGGTTTCAAAAGGCCGGAAGGGGGGGGGGGAGCGGGGTGGGATGGACGACAAAGGGAATTGCCGAACAACAGAACCCCCACCCATTCCTCTCACTGCAGCGGAGGAGGAGGAGGGGTAGAGCAGTGACAAGCACTTAACGGACTGTTTTGTACAGCCCTAACGGAAATGACACAAAATCACGCAAAATGAAAGGAAATGCAATCAGGCCTATCCGGCCCGCGTGGATGAAAGCCATGAAAGCCAAGTTTAAAACAGTCAGTGCATCAAGTGCGTCAAGTCTTCAGTAAGCAATTTTTGGCGACGTTTGGGCTAACACTGGCCCATCTAAAGCATGCTGTGGCTGTGTGTCTCAACCTTGAAAACCAGGACAAAGACGCCAGGACTGGGATTTCCACCATACAGACGTGGTCATGCAGCCGCACTTGACGCAAACAAATCCCAGCCGCCCGCAATACGGGACTCGTGGGGTTTTGACAGCTGGGGCCGGGGAACGCACAGGCGACAAGGTCGAGTAATTTTATGCAAAAGCTATTAGGTATGCCCGGCTGTACTTTAAGGGGTTGAGAAATAGTTACCCTAACAGTATTTTGTCCATCAGGTGCGGCTGCGTAAACAAAAGTTTCTTTTTCGAGCCCTAGTATCTGCTGAGGGGTGTCCGGTACTTGTGCTATGTCATATTTTAGAACGTTCTTGTGGTCGAAGACCAATGTATGGTCAACGACTCTGTGTCCTAGTGGGCGTACGTCACGTGTTCTGAGACATGTTTAACGGGGACTGACTGTTCGCGTTGTTGTGCGTTGAAATTGAATTTGGCCGAGATTGCTCGGGCTGCCGGTGGGAGCGAAAAGATGAGCTCTAGAATGCTGTTAAGAGGGGGGAATCGATAGCAGAAACAACCATCGCACCAATTGCAACCATCGGGTTTGAGTACAGGAGCTATTAGTTATAGTAGGTATGTGGTTGCACGATTATTTATGACTGTCGGCGATGATGGGTTCAAGCGAGAATCCATAAGGCCAAGCGAATAAAATTCTCGCTCCAATGGTCGCATCTCCTTCTCAGTAGTGGCAACCAAAGTATCAGCAAAGCCAGTAGCTATGTGGACTGTATCAATAATGATAGCAATAATAACAATAATTACTATTAGTGATAGAAGTAGCGATGGTGATGGTGGTAGTAGTAGTAGTAGTAGTAGTAGTAGTAGTAGTAGTACCTGCGGTAATGTTGGCAGTAGTAGTAGCCGTAGCGCCTTTTTATGTGACGTTTTTATAGTCATTTTGTGTCCGCGGGATTGTGTTGACCTCCTTCGTTTTTCGCCTACTACCTACAGGTGACTCTTCGCCTCCTCGAGGGACCTGAGACGAGCACAGCCAAGGGCAACTTCCTCCCAAGCTGGCTCTACTGGCTGCAGTTACCGCGCTACTGTCAGATTCCGAAGACCATTGTGCTCTCCCGTACCAGCGCCAGTGGCAGCTTCGGGTTCAGCATTGTCGGTGGCAACAACTCCATGTCCACCGACCCCTCCTCACCAACCATGACGGGTCTGGCCAATGCTGTAAGCCTCCTTGTGCCGGCCTTTCCTCGGTCCACTGTCGTCTTATCCGACCCTCTCCGTCCTAGGGGCCCGGGGAGCGTGCGGCTTTTCGTGAGGGCGTTGTGGAGACGGGGAGGGGGGGGGATGGTTGGCGGGAATACAGTGTCGCAACACTTCGGATTGTCTATTCCCCCACCAGCCTGTCTTACGGGCGGACCACTAATACTACTACCACCACTACTACTGCTACTACTACCACTACTACCGCTGTTACTACTAATACTACTACCACTGGCGGGAATACAGTGTCGCAACACTGATACGGCGAATACTACTAATAATCCTACTATTAGTACTACTACTACTACTACCACCGCCACCACGGCTGCCAATGCTACTCTACCAACGCTTACAGTATGGGTAACTAACTGCAATAATACTAGCATCAGTAACGGAGTGTTGCGACACTGGTATCCAACCGGATGGTTTTTTGCCTTTCTCTTCAGGCCGCCAGCCCTCCATTGTCAGCAGACGAAAACCGCCGGGTGGGCTTGGCGAACGGAAACAAGTGACCGCAGCACGCATTTGTCGTTCCCATTTTGCGTACGCTGTTCGGGGACAGGTCAAATTTGTAGTTGTCTACACAGTATTCAAATACTGTGCGTTCCGTTGTTTATAGCGTCCATCCTAGTTTTGGTCGCTCCTCCCTTGGTGTCCTCCAAGTCACCCTTATCTCACACACCCCGCTCTTCATCAGGAGGTCCCTTGAAGGTCCCCTTTTCAGGTTTCACCTCCTGAAGGTAATTTTGGTGCGTTTATTGTGCATACAACTGTATTCGACAGTAGGAGCGCCCTGAGAGCGCAGCGCTGCCGACTTTGTGAATACCGTCTGCCTCCGTCGCAATGACCACAGTCAACTTCTGCAGTTCTGCGGCTGCTAGACCGCGAAAACGTGGAGGGGAGGGGGCTGTTTTAGTTTTACCAGCCAGCCTGGCTGGCAAAGGCGACCGTTTTTTTTTGACTGGGAGAGGGACAACTGGTTTTCGTTTTGGCACACGGTAGCCTCCGCCCCTGGTAGTTGCGCCTTGTGTATTTTGGAGCACGACGTCATATCGATGTAGTGGTCGTCAGGGGACTCAACCACTTGATGAATGTGGTGGGTTTTCGATGGTTTACTTTCGGTGCACCGCTTCAAGGTCGTCTGATTTAACCGCAAACGCTTGCAGACAGGCTGACTGTTGCCCAGACTGACTGTAGTACCGCAGACGTGCACACCTCTGCTGCAGTGCACGTATGGACTAGACTACAAGTACCCTCATCTCATTCCTAATATCTTCCCCCGGGGTTTTTTTATGAAGCGTATCTCTCGTTCCTGCGGCCTCTATTCCATCCTGATAATCGGAAGTCGTCTTAGACCTCCAGTCTGAGGTCCTTACATGTGACAAGTGAGACATATAAAACATGTTGGATAAGCGCGGGACCCCCACTGTTGTGGGCTGTGGCGTACTGATGATCGGTGGCGACCGTGAAACAGCTGTCTTCGTCCGGCCTGTTGCACGCCTACCGAGCTGCTTACGTATCATACGTACTATGTGTCCTATGACACAACGTTCGTTGTCGCCATTGGTAAGCTGTCGGCGAACAGAATGGGATCGTGGGAGATTCTAACCACAACCACTTGACAAATCGACTATTCGGTTGGGCGCTTTCATCTATGACTTACTTGTAGCGTCGGGCTTAACGCTCAATAAAAATAGCCGCCGACTTCGAATTTTGGGTCATTTGGACTGCAGGCGTGGCTCTCGTAGCCTTCCATGTTTGTGTCAATGCTGCCGATAGTGACTTGGTTATCAGTTCCGCTGGGGACTTCAAACGTGACCGACACTTTGCGACATTTGTTCGCTTGAATGTAAACTGTGCACGCAATTCTCAGTGCCTGGCAGATTGAGGAAATTCTCTACTACGATTTTGTCCTCTGAAGTGATAACGTTCCGTTTCCTCGGGTGCACTTACCTCAAACATTTGCGGTCGAAGTCTTTCCTGTTTGCGACAAGTTTGGAGGCTTAACTTTACGAGGTCTCGATTCGCTGTTGTGGACGTTGTCGTTAACTCTTTGTGGTGTCTTTCACTCTTCGTCCACTCACCGTCTGCAGCTCCAAAGCAAAGCGAACCACTTAAATGATCGGGGATCGCCGCCATGATCATTTTGGTCATTTTTGACTCCATACTCCTTGGAGGACTGCACATCTGATGAGACGTGGATTGAATTGGTTTCTGTTTGCAAAACAGGCGGTGACTATTTTATAATTACGTATGATTAGTTTATTGTGCCGGATGTGAAACACGTATGTAGGGCCTCGCATGCTTTTCTTCGCGACACGACGTCATATCGATGTAGTGGTCGTCAGAAGATTCAACCACTTGCTGAATGTGGTGGGTTTTAGACGGTAAATTATTTCCTTTTGCTTTGACCAGTACCCTCGGGGAATCAGTCATAACGACTGTCGTCTGGAAATCGCATCGCCCTTCCTTCACTGTTCGGCCTGACCAATCATTGCAATCTTAGACTCGCCTCTCTTCCTCAACCACGGAGGTCATACTCAGTTTCCTGGAGTGTTCGCCCTGGGGGGCAGTTCACCTGTGCCGACAACTCCTTCTCCATCATTTTCGGCGCTTAGTCCAGCCCAGATTTTCAATTGCATTTACAGGTTTAGCTTGCTTGTTCTGCGATTAAAGCTGGCGTCTGATTAGAAAGGCTGAGTCTGCTGCCTCGGCAAGTCGTCCTGTTTTTGTTGAAGAACTTTTTTGATTGGTTACCTAATTGTCAAAACCTCGACGGCAGTCAAGTCCGCAACATAAATGGCAGGATTGTCTAAGTGGCGTAACTATTCCCATGTTACACTTGAAAAGTCAAGTTGACAAACACGTGTTTTCGGCAATTCTTCGTCAGGCCAATACAGTTACATGAAGGAATGAAAATATAGATAATTAACAGTGTTTATTTGTGTCTCAAGGGCTATTAGGTCATTAACACTCATCTTCTCCACGCCGCCCGAATGCCGAGTTCGGCGGGTTTTGGTCCTTATAGCTAGAGGAGAGGGGGGGGGTAAGAGAGTCTTTGATTGGTGTTCTTGGATTTAGTACACGGAGTACCCATAACTGTAATTAGGGATTTGAGGCGGCATGTCGTCATCACGTGAGGTTGGCGTTGGCCACGGCAGAGAGAGCGCTTGTGTCAGCTTTTTCTGACAGCATAGCACCGGATTCGCCAGCCGTATAGCCACTGCCTCGGCCGTTGCTGGTATCCATTGGCGTAGACCTTTAGAGAAGCTTTTTGGTGACCAATAGACAACCTGAAATGCTTCCTTGGCGTCGACTCAGTGATCCGTATCGATTAAATGTGCGAGAATAGAACTCGAAATCGATCTGGTCCAACCTCTGTCCATGAGCCGTGACTGGTTACCTAATTGTGAAAACCTCGACGGCTGTCAAGCCCACAACAGAAATGGCAGTGTTTAGGTACAGCCCGTGCTATAACCATCTGAGCTTCGAGACATCGACTGGAAGCCTTGAGGCTCTCACACTTGGACTAAGTTCCCACGCCCCCCCCCCCCCCCCCCTAACTGCACTGATTCCGACACAGCAGATTGACCGTTCAAGCGAATTTTTCAAACAATCCATGCAGCATTCAACGGAGGACTGCGAGGTTTGCTTTCTTAAAGGTTGTTTTTAACAGGTTTTAATGCATTTAACCCAACACTCAAAGATAAGCCTTCTGTCTAACCATCTATTTTTTCTCTCCCTTTCCACACCGTCTCCACCACTAGTCGCAACGTGAGGTTGCGCGTCCCTCGACGACGTCCAGTTCCTCCTGCGTCTCCTCCTCTCCTCAGCCGATCGTCGTTAAGTCCATCGTCCCCGGCACCCCGGCACATCGAGACGGCAGACTCAAGTATAGCCCCCCCCCCTATCACCCCCTGCCTCACCCTCTTCTTCCATCCGCTTAGGGAGAAACTTGTTGGTTAACAGCTCCACCGCATCCGTCCGCTCCCCCCGAGCCTCTGATGCCACCGCTGGGAAGCGCAGACGGCTTATTCTTCATCATTTTAGCGGCGTCGTCCATAGTTGTTTTATGTTCTTCGACCCCTCGTGGGTGAACAAGATGTTCAAAATATCGGGCCTATCGATCATAGACGTGGCTCCGAAACCCGCCATTGCCGCCGTCGGCCATGCGAATGTGTGTTGTCAATTGACTCAGTTTTTTGAAGTTCATTCAATGTTGACAACGTCAAAGAAAACGCACATCGAGACCCTGATGGGACACCTAGATCATATTTTAAAGTAGAGAAGTGCCGCGGGTGTGTTGAGACAAGCCATTGAGCCCCATACCGTAGGGTTGGCTTATCCGATCTTTCAGGTCCGACTGGGGTTATTGTTTGTTTCGTGATAGATTTTAGCTGACGAAATGGTCCACTTTTCGATCATCAGACAGTTGACGCCAAAGAATGCGGAGTCTTATCGCCAATCCCTGCGCTGCATCATTCATGGTTCACCTCATTGAGCACCCCGTGCAAACAATTGTGCCATACACCTTCTTCCTTTGCGTTCTCACTTTCTGGACATCGGTCACTCGGAGCAATATCGAGGTTGTCGAAGTCACATGACTTGCCAACTCTCGCCCCGTCAGCAGTGCGCGTGCAACTGATCCAGCCACCCATTTTGCAATTCCGTCAAGGTAACTCACTACCCCAACCGTGAGGGCCAGTCATGAACTTCCTTGAAGAGCAGCTTTCAACATGTCCGCGAATCTTTGTTGAATTGTAGAGGAGGGCTTTTGGGTAACCGTGTGGTAGACGTTGGATCATCAGGATGCCTCCTGCCGAGTAGCTGGACCGGCTCGAGGCGTTTGTTTGATCCTGACCTCTACACTGACTGCAAGTCACAAGGACACATGTGTAATCCTTGTTCCATTAACTGCGTCTTCTCAGAGCCGGTCAAATCTCTCTCTTTATGCAGTCCATAATACTGCTATTGAACGTAGTGTTGTTTTCTGTAGCCTGTACTTTTAGATGTTACTAATTCTATTTTCATATCGTCTGTCGGCACATGTCTGTGGTCCATTGGCTGGGTGCGCAGAGTACGTAGACTGTTATATGTCCCACAGCGCGGTACGCTCAGGGACGGCGACTTGCGTATGTGATAGTAGACTTGCGCTGCATCTACCGCCCTCTCTCTCCTCCCACCTGGGCTCGGTGTCGAGACAGAGTCAAGAAGACTGGAGGTGGGGTCATGCGCTGGCGGTTGACGCGCTCATGAGCCCGCGCCTAGACGTGATGCCGCACTCCACGCAAGATGCTCTACATTGTGGGCAGCATATGAATGTCCAAGCAGTAGCACCGCGCTTTTGTTGACGACCTTACTTTTGGGTTAGCGAATTTTGGCGTGATCGCAGGTTCGAACAGTAAAGGGAAATGTTGTCTGTGTGTTATGACCCGCTTAACTGGTGGCTGTGAGACGAATATTCACCATCCACAGCAGTAAGGGCGAACCTCATATGAGCTTCATGAGCGGGCTAAGCCGTTCTCCGTCCTGCAGGTCACGAAACGATCATGACTGTAGATTCGGAAGCCTTTAAAGTTACTCGTTGCTGCGAAAATGCGGGAACAGGCTCGCATCGTTTAAGAGGTTCCACCGTTGCAGATGGGATAATATTATGCAGGCTATTTTGGCCTTATTGGTCGTCATCAGCCAGTCATACCCAACCCCAAGTGTGGATAACGCGGGATCTTTGGTCATGGAGTTGGACACTCTACCATTGAGCCACGGGCCCATTGTGCTGTCGGTTGTGATGGGGAATATCAATTAATATCAAACGAGCACGTTTCGTAACCTGATCGGTGAGCGCCCATCTGTGCACTGGACAGGACGCATTTGTCAGGTTGATAATGATCGCAGTTCACGACATTACTCTGCAGTAGACGAGCAAGGTTTTCAACGAGTTGCAAGGGTGGCTCGCAGGCCAGTACTTCTGAAGCCCGAACAACCGGTGTTTATTAGCCTTACACTTGTTTTTGGGCCAAAAGGAACTCGAACGCCTTGTTAACTATGCGCGTTAAAAGCCGTGATTGGCCTTATCTTCTCTCTAACTATCCGCCTGTTTTTTGGCTGCTCGCGTGCAATCTGAGTCAATTTCTTGTGCATTTTAACGACGATCTTCCTCTCCGCCTTTGGTTTCCTTCGCATTTCATTGAACAACGTCGGAAAATCGACTTCGCGGTCAACCCCTTGCTGTCCTAAGGTTTTCTTGCTTCTGATTTTCTAAACGGAAAATCGACCAGAAATGCATATTAAGACACTTTCCGGAAAGCTTTGGTCACCTGGTGAAATAACGCATCTTTTCTGTTCAAATTTAACTTGAGTTAAAGTTTTTGAGCGCAGAATTTTACCATGTTGTTGTTCGAAGCACGCAATCGTTCCCTCGCCATAAGTTTCGCTTTGAGTGAATTTTTTCGTTCTGTTAAACTTTTTCGCGTGTTTGAATTTCTCGCAGATGCGGTGATCTCATTCTGGCCGTGAACCAGTTCTCACTGGCCGATGTCTCTCATGCGTACGCGGTCGCCCTTTTGAAGAACTGCGTTGGGGATGTTCAAATTCGTGTAGTCTCATGGCCAGGAACAATCGTCTAGTGAATTGGCGGTGGTATTGATGTCCTTCGATCTCTCTTCTGTCTCCCTCCGCTTCTACATTCGTTGGCCCGCCCTCGCCCTCCCCACCTTTGCGTTTTCGTGGCCCTTGGTGACTCACCTTGCATGCTAACTGACCTGCGCCACTACTTCTACCCTGGTTGTCATCGCTCTTAAACTTCTTTCCCATGTGACTTCTTCAACTCTCCCCCTCCCTCTACACACCCATTTAGCCAAAAGGAACTCGAACGCTATGTTAACTATGCGCGTTAAAACTATTGATTGGCCTAAGCTTCTCTCCAACTATGCGCGTATATTTTGGCTGCTCGCGTGCACTCTGAGTCTGTTTCTTTAGCATTTTGACGACCATCTTTCCCACCGTCTTTGATTTCCTTCGCATTTCATTGAATAACGCCGGAAAAACGCCTTCTCGGTCAACGCTTTGCTGTCCTAATGTTTTCTTCCTGCGTAAGGTTACTGAAGTAATCTCAGTAGACATTGTTTTAAACTTGGGTTGGTGAGGTCTCCGTTCTTACTGGCCATTCAAAGCACTATCTCCCCTTGCGTCTCTGAAAAGCCAGAATCGCCGCGAACGCTAACACGAAAACTCACTAAACATTTACCAACGCCCTTCGGTGTCTTGTTCTGTGTGTTTGCAATATCGACGAGCGTGGGGTATAACGTCGAGTCAGTTCGGGAACTTTGATGACTTGCCCAGCAACTGACGTAAATTCCCCTCTGAATGTAAGCAACCGCCTCCCCCCCCCCGGTCCTAAAATTGTAAGGCCTCGTGTTTTGGCTGAAATCTCGGGAATTTTTTTTACATCGGTGAGATTTCTCCAATTAGGGGGCAAAGAGGGGCAACTCCGAATGAGTGTTGCCAAGGTATGGCTGTATCACAAAAGGGCACTTCTTAAGCCATCGTTCTGTCATTCTAGACGGGGCCACGCTAACTAAATAGCTGCCAGTTAGTCCCGGGACTGGCAAATTAAATTTTTGCAGCAGATATGTCCGAGAATAGCCCGGATAAATTCTCAACTGGGTTTTAATCAGGATTCAGAGACCCGACCTGGATCCTCACTGACGACTTTTCCGTCCTCTGGTCCGCGCTTATGCCTCACACATACCGTTATGTTGATGAGAAGGCGTATGGCTGAGTCGTCTGCTTTTCTGCAGAAACCTTGTTTTCGAATTCCTAAACGAAACAGAAGTCTCCCGGATCGTCACACTCCCCTTGCACGGTCATCTGCTGCAGGTACCGGGGTCTTTAAACAAGTTATCTTGCCGGTAGCTGTCCCTGTCGATATCGTCCAAATTCAAATTCTCGGTATGGCGCGGGTTCACGTATTCCAAGAACAATAGTTCTATATAATTTGATTTATCCAGCCTGATATACATTAACAATAATCTCTGAGCCTCATTTTCGTGTGCAGCCAAGTACTTTTAATCGGTGATCATGGTGTGACCGATGTCACGATGTGATTCTCAATTCAGCGTACTAGCTTTTTCCTGTAAGGGTTCATCACGGCCGGTATCCGTCAAGCTCCATGAACGAATGAACAAAAACTTTCGGGTAATTTGGAAGTTCTAGTGCCAAATTCCACCGTGATGTTTTCGATTCGTTCGCGTGTCCTTAGATTTCTAGCTCAAAGTTCGTTGCGTGGACCCCTTTCCAGACCCATGGAGGTCAAGGAATTAGTACTGTCCGTCTGTTTTCAGTGCAAATCGATCTGAATGCTACTCACCTGGTTGTCGTTACTTTATTGGTTACTGGTGCCATTTGTCCGCCTGAACACAACTCGACATTAAGTTGTCTGACACGCGTAATCCAGGCGCGAGGTGGTTTTACCGCACTTGGTGCCGTATACTTATGTGCCGACCATATTTCCATCATTCCTGTTATTTGACATCACAGTAAACAATTTTTTGATAAAACCCTGTTGTCCCCACAAGTTGTAATTTGTACTATCGTGCAGAGATCTGCAATAATTCACGCAAGCCTGCCGGAACTTAAGCGATTACGCAAACGGATGTTCTAATACCAAAACATACCTACTAATTTAATTTCGGTAGCCATGCCACATTAGGACAACGTCCCTTGTTAAGCCTAAGGTCTGGCTTGTTAGGAGGAGCCGTCCTGACCGACTCGTTCGCATTCGCCCTACGGCAGTCCGACCGTCGTTGCTTATTATGCCCACCCTGTGCTGCACAACAAGGTAAGAGCAGGCACGGTAACTTGCGCGTGAATTGGTCTCTACTAAGAGTGGGCTTGCGGAGCCTCAACCGCACCCTCTCTCCCTCGGCTCACATGGACCCGGTGTCAAGACATAGTCACGAGGGCCGGAGGCGGAGAGGGCGCAGATGGCTGGCACAGCGGGGCCTGCACCTAGGCGCACCATCACACTGCCTTAACCACACGCCCTCCTGTCGATCCGCCCACACGGCGTGCGCTTGTTAATATCGCGCCAGTCACCGGCAAGATTGGAAGGATGCCCAGCCACTCAGATGAGTCGTAAGTCCCAGCGGCGTGCTAACAGCTCAGGAGTATGATCTGATTGGCTCAATTCCAGGTTGGCTTTGGACATTTCTTCATGTACCTTTTAGAGCCAAATTTTCGCTGTTAGGACTCTGCAACGGACGTTTTTTTGTCTCACCCTTGCGGTTGAGTTCTGATTTGGGGTTTCGATCGCGGAGAGTTATAGAACGGGCGACGAGCTACGACAAGAAATTAACAATGTACAGGCTCGAGAGTGGGCCGAGGGAACGAGTTAGGGTTAAATTTGCCTGCCGCCTTTAACCAATAACGTCGAATTGCCTGTTTTCCACCCGTTTACACGCCCCTTAGTCCGCATCTCCCAAATTGTGCGGTCTCCTGCAGTACTTCGTTTTGGTAATAAAGTGGACTTGTGGCAGAAATCCGAGTTGTCTCAGTGCTTTTCTCAGATCCCAGTAATTATCGCCCTACTGATAAAACTAATACTGGCATCCCGTATTTCAGGAATCCCTGCGTTCTATCTTTTTTGGTGGGTTTGCGTACCCAATCCTTACCAAGACTTTCTCAAGCGCCACAAATTGATCTCAGTTTTATTTGCGAACTTGCGTACGCTGTTCAACTTACAGTGGGTAACCTATCTCACTGAACATTAACTTACATCCTCAGTTATAGTTTCAGTTAAAATGGCCCATCTAGGGGCAGGGTTGTAATATTAATTAAGATGCAGCCTATTACCAAACTTTTTCAGCCTTTAGATCTCAAAAATTAGTGCGTCAACTAGAAGCAAATCGTTCGAAATGAAGTTTATAGACTAAGTCCACGAAGTTTATATAAATATTTAAGCTGAAATCCATCCAATTTTGCGGTATGACTGCGTTATATTCGCAAATTGCCTACTGGCAGCTAGTAGTATGGTCATGTTGCATGATTTACCGTGCGGACAACGGACCTTTAGCTAGCACCCGTGCTGTCAGCGTAGTAAACCATGCAAGACGTGTGCAGAATGATATTACTGGCAAAGACAAGGGAGACTGACATGGCCATTTCTGGCTTATTAACCGTCGTCAGTCAGTCATACCAAATCCCGAAGTATGGAACACCTGGTGCTCGATCTCGCTACCTGTTAATTAAAAGTCCAGCTCCTCTAACTACTGGGCCAGGGGCTCGTTGTCTTGTCGGTTTCGATCGGGAATATACTATGGTATAGGGGCGCTCACCGATTGTTCTTACGGAACTCACTCGTTCCGTTGTGCCTTACAGGCTTTTTCTCGAGCCCAACCCGGATGTCTCAGCCACGCCAAGATGCCAGCATTCAAATGCGCGTCTTATCGGCCATCTCCAAAAGCCACGCTCTCCCCAAAATATTACTTAAGTAGTATGCGCACATAGGCTCAAACATATTCCAGAATGTGTGTGCATAAAAATATCCACTCTTGTACCCATGGGAAATTGTGTCGCCCAACTTTCAACTGGAAGAACGTGTGGTTTACAGTTTTAGAAAAGTGTTTCAATCGCCGGATAATTATGAAGCCGACCTTCCGTTTAACTTGCGTTTAGGATTTCCATACTACAGGTTGCACATACTCAATTTCGGAAGACTCATGCATTCATCTATGCCACAAAGAAGGCACCACGAAGGGCTAGTGCAATTTTGCCCTGAAGTTGGACCATGTTGTATAGCTCACACGGGGCCTTCATAAACGGACAAATAATATGTTATTCAAATAGACATTTCACCGTCTTACAGATCTCATAATTACAGGGTTTTTAACCGATAGCTACCCTTTCTTCGGGCAGAAGTTTTTAGGAAGACGTAATTGACTATGTTAATATGGCGCTCACCTGTCGCGCTATGGAACTCACTCGTCCCATGGTACTGTGGCAGTTCGCGTCTCCTTGCCCTCCGCCTTTGTCACGCTGCCTTCCTGTCCGCCTCACGCTCCTTCTCGATACGCTGCTGGGACTCGCGAGTGCTCCAGGCCAATCAACGCAGTCCCCCCTCTGATTGGCTGTCGGACGCGGAGATAACGGAGCGCGCACACGCGCTGGGACACAACACCTCGAAGGCGGACACAGACAACAACTTGTCTGGAGAGCACGCTTGCGGCGACTGCCCACACAGCCTTGGTGTACACGCTTTCCAAACAGTAAAGGTTGTCCCACTCATTTCGTCTTCCCTGACTTTTGATTGGGAATCTTTATCTTGTCGACCACACAACTTTCGACAGTACCTTGGGGCTCTCTCTCGAGCCCCGACGGCAGCCGCACAGCGACGCGTAATATACAGCGGGCGACCCAACAGACGAAACTTGCGAACTATTGCTTATCACTCGCAAACCGACACCAATGCGTGAACTCTATATATATATGTTAATAAATAACAAATTTATGGAAAATGACAACATAAATGTTGAAGGTAATTTTAAGTTGTTTAGAAAGGCTAAATTTTTTGGAAAAGTTGAAAATCCCAAAAAGTCAAAAATGGTTGTAATTTAGTAAACTTTAAATT